AAAAGAAGAAGAGAAAGAAGAAGAATGCTAATAAAGACGTCAAACGGTTGCGTGAAACGGCAGACTTTTGAGGTCGGCACTCGGGGTCTGCTCTGCACTGACAAATGGACAACTCTGTGAACCGGTGAAGGTGGGGACAAGTGGGGACAATGGAGAAAAGACCAAGAAGAGGTAAGAGGTGAGGAATGAGGTTAGCCGCCGAGGCGAGCAGAGAGGGAAAGCTCCTCTCCAATCCCAAACTCCATTGCCGCATTTATTTATTGTCATCATATAAATATTTACACTAAGCTCGCAGTCATTAGCACCCCGAGGAGAGAGAGAGAGTGAAGCGGACAGAGTCAGGGCAACCAGGGCAGATTACGAGCACAAGACGGTGGCAGAGACAGTTCAGAAGGCAAATCAAAAGCGAAAGTAAAGTGCAATCGCCGAGCGTTTAAAGTTGCGGCTACCGGGGCTAAAGTTATGGCATAAAAAGCATACATTGCCAATGAACCTCGGTGCGAAGGGGGTTTCGTTGTGCCAATTACACTGTGTGTGCTCAATGGTAGATGCTACCGATTCAATTAATTTAAAGTGCTAAGCTTGTGTGTGTTTGTCTCAGAGACAGGCCATAAATTAATAATGTGTAATGGTGCCTTGATACATTGGGGAGACAGTGGGAGAAAGAATGAGAGAGAGAGAGAGAGAGAGAGAGAGAGAGAGAGAGAGAGAGAGAGGGAGAGGGAGAGAGAGAGGGNAGAGGTAATTCGCAGTTGAGTGGCGACAAACAAATCGCGAAAAGTCAATTGCCGGCAATGATGACGATGAAGAGGAGGAGAAAGGGAATGGGTAAAGAGGTGAAGGGCTTTCATTATCACCACCACCACTTGGCCTTGGCATCGACCATGAGAAAGCCACTGTGGCACACAATGGCAAGCACACCAGCAGAATTGCTCCTTAATCTCCATTGGAGTCCATTGCCACAGCACTGAATGGGTTAATTTTTATTTATGACACACACAGGCAAACCGTAGGAGCAGTGGACCGAGGAGTGGTGGTGGTACGCTTCACAACTCTCTCTCTCTCTCCGCATCGACCAATTGGTAATTGGCTTCAGCATGTGTTTGAAACACTTTAATTGGCCTCTCCACAAACATATACTGACTGTAAGAGTCAATATTTAAAGAACGGGTTGGATCAGCAAGTTGGAACCGTTTGAACTAACGGCGAACACACCGCCTATTTCTCAATTACTGCCAAACTTCATCAAATCTTCCAGCCTTAACTCGCCCTGTGATTATTATTAAAAATTGACTGCAGCATAAACTTTAATCAGTAGAGTCAATAGACAATTGACCGGGTGAAAGTTCATCGCTTGAAAGCTTAATCCTTTACCCCCTCAAGACGGAAGGCAGTAGTCTCTCTCTTTCTTTTTCTCACTCTTGTCAAAGTGGGCCAAGTCAATGTTGACTCGAGAAAAAGAGAAAGAAAAAAGTATAAATCATATAATCATGACCTTGTGATTGACTTCGAAATAAGAACTAGTCGGTGGCATTTTACAACTGAGCAAAGGGCTTAACAGAGCAGGCATATGCGGAAACCAAATCGGAAGAGCTAGCTTTAGCAAAAAAAACTTTGTTTTCTGAGAAAACGTTAAACCTGCCATTTAAAAAAACTTAAAATTGAAAAATGATAAATTTTTGAAATTTTAGCATGAAAAAAGTTCTTGAGGGCGGCAGAAAATTCCGGTTTGCATCAACTGCTCTTGCAAGTGAATTTTACAATATGGGGGCAGACCAATGTGAACAGTAAAAGCAGACAAACAAACTGCCGCGGCGGAGAAAGTAATACTCTTAGGCAGCAAAAACGTTAGTAACCATACTGAATAATTAAATTGCCGCACCGCTTTAAAGTAGAGACACACTTCTTACTTTTTACCTGAACTACCTACCTACTAGCAGAACTTTCTTCTGCTCCACATTGTCACCAGAACATAAAATGGAAGTTTACGACTCTCAGCAGTCTCATTGCAGCAGTCGCATCCTTTGACAGAAGATCGTTCACTTGTGTGTGCAACTTTTCGCCATTTATAGACTTCAAACTTCATAGTTTTCCAATTTCAACTTCATTTGAATGTGTCTCGGCAGGCAGCAGCATCAACCAAGGGCAAGCATCATGAAGCTGCAAGGCTGCTTTCTGCTGATGGTGGTGGCCCTTCTCTCTGCGTACCTCACCTCCCAGCAGCAGTCACTGGTGAAGGCGCTGGTGCCCAAGTTGCCCTCCGCCAGTCAGCTGGAGCAGGCATTCGCTGATGAGCAGCAGCAGCAGCAGTCCTCTTCCATCGATGACTCGGTCAAGTCGACGGCAGTCGGTCAAGCGAACCAAGCAAACGGTCACAGCAAACAGCTGGTAGTGCTCTCGCGGTCCATCTTCAGAAAGCCGATTCGATTTGGCCGTAAACGGCGGTTATCACGGGTGCAGCAGAAGAGGAGCAAGTTCACAACGGCGGTAGTGAACTGCAAGACTCATCACTAAGAAAAAGGAGAAGATTTAGAACTAGAATAGAATTCGTAGAGTAGAATAACAAAATACCATTATTCGACAACGACGACAACAATACCAGCAAAACAACAGAAAGCACAATTTTCCCACCGATACAGCTTCCCCCCCCCTTTGCCAAAATGACCCAACCTCTTCTTCAACTTCTACTTATAATTTCCTTCTCCTTCGTTGGCCTCATCCACAGCATACCGCTTCGAAAAGGGTCAGGTAAACTTCTGGTGGCGGTGGTGGAAAACACTCCCCAATCTTCCTAACCTCCCTTTTCCTATTCCCAGAAGCAGACCAGCAGCAGCAGCAGCAAGTGGCGGAGTGCAATGAGAAGTTGGACGCAATGAACGCCTTCTCCGACTGCTCCTCTCTCGTCGCCCTCAACTGGAACTGCATCCACAGTGGCACTNTATAATTTCCTTCTCCTTCGTTGGCCTCATCCACAGCATACCGCTTCGAAAAGGGTCAGGTAAACTTCTGGTGGCGGTGGTGGAAAACACTCCCCAATCTTCCTAACCTCCCTTTTCCTATTCCCAGAAGCAGACCAGCAGCAGCAGCAGCAAGTGGCGGAGTGCAATGAGAAGTTGGACGCAATGAACGCCTTCTCCGACTGCTCCTCTCTCGTCGCCCTCAACTGGAACTGCATCCACAGTGGCACTCTGCCAGATGAGGGCAACAGTGCAGGCCAACACCATCACCACCAGCCCCATCGTCTGGTGCTGAGCTGCGGCGACGACCAACAGGGCCCGCTCTTCTGCTGTCCAGTGTGGGCGCTGCTGCGGTGCATGCTCCAGCAGGTCAAGTTGCACTGTGCAAGTGGTGGTGGTGATCAGCAATCATCATCTTCCGAGGAGGGCGACAACTTCAGCCAGCAGTACCAGGCAGTTGCCTTCCAGTCGCAGATTGACGAGCTGCAGCAGAGCAGCCGCTGTGCCCAGTTTCCCTTCTCCTCCTCGCAGTGTGACTCGGTGCTTGCCTTCATTCGGGACCAGTTTGCCCTGGAGAGTGATGGTAAGCTTTGGTAGCAGAAGTGGTGACAACCTTCTCTGAATCTTTTCCACCTCCTCTTGTCCAGCAATCCAGTCGGGCATGTATCAGTACTTCTTCCCCAACGTCAATGCCAGTCGGCTGGCCTATCTGCGCTCCTACAAATCCTCCGCCACCTCTTCTCGGGCCACCACCCTCAACTTCGTAGTACTAGTCTCCTGTTTGATTCTCCTGGCAAGTTTGTCCTGTGCATTCTCCTCAACCTCCTCATACTTCACTGATTGTCTCTTCGGTTAACAACTAGCTTTATTAAAGTGTTTGGGTTGCTCTGTGCTCGGCTGCGGTTTCGGTTTGCTGACTAATGAGTCTAAAAACTGTAGCGCGGATAAAACCTGATAAAACATTGGGAAATCTAAAATGGAATAGGTGAAATGTTCAAGAGAGGTTGACTGGGGTTGAAGTTCACAGTGACACCTTGTGCCAGTCGTCGAATGTAGGCAATCGCCTCGCCGCCCACTGCTTTCATTGAGTAAAAACTTCCGTAACCTGTACTAGAAAAGTTCTTCAGATGATTCAAAGTAATGGTGGACTGAAAGAGGCCTGTTTTGCTGTCAAGCTCTACTGTTTTAAAACTCAGAAGTTTGCGGTGCTCTTGCAGGAGTGAGTCAAGGATAAAGTGATCACTGTTTTCTCTCTTTGAATCAACTGAAAATAAAGATAATGTACAACTTAAAGATATAAAAGGGAAAAGAATAACAAACTTACGCTTCTTGAAATTGGCAATAAATGTTGACAGATCGGCTAGGTAGTCGACGGTCTTTTTCAGTGCTTTTTCCATCGACTCCTGTTCCTGTCTTGCCCACTCAATGAACTCGGCATTGATGCTCGAAATGGTTACCCAGCTGAGAAATGTTCCATCCTTCAGTGCTTCAGTTTTAAAAGTGATATCGATGAAACCGTCATCCAGAATTGAACCCTTCAACTCTTTGAGAATGAATTGGCAGCCTTTTCTTACGTTATAAACTAAATTGAATCGGTTTATTAGGAAGATTTGCCTTTCCTGCATCAAATCAGCGGCGGTCAGTTCAGCATCCATGGTCGCTAAGTTGTGGAAATCTTTCTAAAGGAAAATTATGACAAATGAATAGAAACGATCAGCTGACGAGTCGTCAGTGACGACATTTCATAATCAGCTGATCATTCACAAAAGACGGGCCACGCATTATTTTAGCTGGGAAAATCATCAAGAATTTCGCATTTTTGAGTTGTGTCAACCAACCTTTTAAATTTTAAAATTTAAAAGTCTTCTCTTTACCTGAATCAAAACAAGTACAGTACACATCAGCTGGTTCATCATTTCAGAACGGCGCCCAGTGCTCGCTTGCTCTACTCTTCAGGTGCACCAGTGTAGTGTTTACATTTTAGTGTGAGCTGTGCAGTGAGCAAAAGGCGACAGCAAAAACGCATTTTCTCCAACGTCAAAAATGAATCTCTTTTCCTCCCTCCTCAAGTCCACCACCGAGCAGGTGAACAATTTGGGAAAGTCTGCCGCTGATATGATAAACTCCATTGCCGCTTGTTCTCCGCTAACCGACACTCAGGTTGCTTTACCGCCGCCGTTATCAGGCGACAATGACCAAACCACCGATGAGAAAGAGTCCTCTTCAATCAGTGACGATGCTGCTGTTGATAAGGAGGAGGAAAACGACCTTTCAAAGATATTTTTGGCCAGCGCCAAAAGCTTTGGATCAGTCGTCACCAAGTCGACACTCAACTTGGGCTCCAGTGTCTTAAAGAAGGGAAAAGAGATTGTTTCTTTGATGGAAAGCTCAGCTCAAGAGAACACGGTAAAACAGGCGGAATCAGTTGACGACGCTTTAGCTCCTTTGTGGACTTGCCTGGATGTGAAGGCGAGTGAAGTAAAGGAAAAGATACTTGCCCTGTCATCTGATCGACGCAATTTTCTGCGACCTCCACCCATTGACTTTGCCTTCGACTTGGAAGCCTCGGCACCGATGGCAAAGGCCCTTCTATGGGAAGATGAACTGCTTCAGAATATGCGCTATTTGCTGGTGCCCAAAGAGTAAGTGCGCTGTTTTGAATTTTCGTTAACAACTAAACCATTTTCTTATTATCACAGGGTCACTGAGGAATCCTTCTGGCGCAATTACTTTTACCGCATTTCACTCATCAAACTGGAAGCTTCAATGGAGGACATTTCCGAGCCTACCGCTAATGATGCTGATGAATCGCCAGCCAGTGAGCAATCCGCTGCTGCTGACTCGTTGAACACCGACGAATGCGAACTGGTCAGCGACTTGACCGATCTGGAGTTGGAAACCGTCGAGGCGGTCAACGAGGAAGAAATCAATTTAGAACTGTCCGATTTTAAGCTCTCATCTAATTAATTCCACTTGTTGATTGTTAACTGTTCGCATTCTTTTCACAAGAATGCACCACATTAAGCCTGATAATACCACTCGCAGTAGCCCAATTACCAGTAATCCATTTCTGAAGCGAGTAGAAATCATCTGAGCCTTACCGGCCTTTTTCCAAGCCCGCTTTATTTGCAGCGTTCATTGCCTGACTACCACATCATTACGGCCCAAGATCGCATTCGCCGTGAGCTGCTGGAGCTGCAGCGCGACCCGCCGGAGAACTGCTCCGCCGGCCCGGTGGACGACTCGAGCATTTTCCACTGGGCGGCGACCATCTTGGGCCCTGTGGACACGCCCTACCACGGCGGCGTCTTTGCCCTGGCCATTGACTTTCCGGCGGGCTACCCGTACCGGCCGCCGCGAGTGCGCTTCAAGACCAAGGTCTACCACCCCAATGTGAGCGTTGACGGGAACATCTGCCTGGACATTCTAGGCGGCAAGTGGTCGCCGGCGCTCACCGTCAGCATGGTCCTGGTCAGCATCTGCTCCCTCCTCACCGACCCCTTCACCGGCCACTCGCTCCGTCCGGAGCTGGCCAAGCAGTGGGACACCGATCGAGAGGCGTACGAGGCGAAGGCCCGCGAGTGGACTCGCAAGTACGCCACGCTCGAGTGAAAATTGGGGCGCATCTTTCCTTTCCTTTATTTGGCCCCAATTAAAGTGCTGACGTTTCAGTGGGGTGGTTGCTGTTGTGCTAATTTCGAACTATTTTGTGTCAGCTAGTTTTGTGTGTTGTTATTGTTCACTCGCTCTCATTCAGCTACAAAAGGTGCCTTTCCTGGATTGTTGTCACTTGTCATTCTTCTTTCCTTTTCTTTTCTAAACATAAGCCAGCATGAGTAGTAAGAATAACAGTAAGAAGCAGTCAAAGAAACAAGGCACCACGAACAAAGGCTCAGCCAAGGCGTCGGCCAGGGGCGGCAGCAAGGCCTCATCGAAGGCGAGCTCCAAAGGCACTGGCACCTCCTCTTCAAAGGGCACTGCCTCTTCGGGAACGGGTACAACAAACACTACCACCACCACCAGCAACTCATCCAAGGCAAACTCAAAGGCGCTGAAGAATCCGAACTCAAAGGGCGGCAGTAAGAAGTCCGCTGCGGCGGCGACCACCACCAAGAAGTTCAACTTTGGTGTGAACGCCGACTCAGAGGGAGCCTCCAACCTGCCTGCCGCCGCCGATCCGACGGTGGTGGAGGCGAATGACGAGCAGCTGCGGATGATCGTCGGCCTGCTGGAGGGCGTCAGCATGGACTTTGTGACGCAGCACATCAAGGACGACCTGGACCGAATACAGAAGCTGGTGCTGAACATCGCCTACCGCGAGGCGGACGAGCGGAAGAAGGTGGTCAGCGTACATTTCACCGAACAGCAGCGGGTGGTCATCAAGACAGTTTGCTGTGATGGCGCAGGAACGGCAGGCACTCCACTGCCCGCACTCACTTACCCGTACGTGAAGCTGAAGCTGGTGCCCACTCGCCCCTCGGTGGACAATAATAATAAGCAGAAGAAGAAGGACAAGGCGGCGACGACCACGACCACAACGACGACGGGGGCGGCGACGGAGAAGACAAAGAAGAAGAAGGGATGATGGTGATCAGGCGGTGGTGGTTATCAGTGNATCGGTGGACAATAATAAACAGCAGAAGAAGAAGGACAAGGCGACGACTACGGCCACGACGACGGGGGCGGCGACGGAGAAGACAAAGAAGAAGAAGGGATGATGGTGATCAGGCGGTGGTGGTTATCAGTGGTTTGTCACATTTCGAATAGTTCAAATTGCTCTAAATTCAAATTAAACTGTAACTCTTTTGTTCGCTAACAATACTCATCATAGAATGATTTTTTTTCTGTGTGTTTGATTCTGCATTTTGATTTTCAGTTTGTTTCAACTCAAACACACACACACCAGAATGGGCACTGGCATTTCAAAGGTGAAGGTGGCGGAAAGCCCCGCGACACCAAAAAGTGACCTTAAAGGCGCCAAAGATGATCCGAACAAGAACAAGAAGATGACCAAGAATGAAAAGAAGAACGATGAGAAGAAAAAAAGTGCAAAGGCAAAACCGTTTGATAAAAATAAGCCCAGTGAGAAGAAGAAAAGCGAAAAGAAGCCATTTGATGCAAAGAAAAAGAGTGAAAAGAAGAAAAGTGAAAAAGTAAAGAGCGCCAAGAAGACGGTAGATAAGAAGGTCAGCGATAAAAAGGTCGGTGATAAGAAGGTCAGCGAGAAAAAAGTCACGCCCAGTGTGAAGAAGACCAGTGAAAAGAACAAAAAGAGTGAAAATAAAAAAACAAAGCCGACCGGCAAAAAGGACACGGCAAAAACAACAAGTGGCAAGAGCGACCAGAAGAAGCAGCAGAAGAAAATTCTTGAGACGAAAGTGCCAAAATTTCGATCACTGGGCTCTAAAATGTTCACCAAGCCGCCGGCTAGTTCTTCCTCTAATGTCAAGCAAAANAGCAAAAAGGACACGGCAAAAACAACAACAAGTGGTAAGAGCGACCAGAAGAAGCAGCAGAAGAAAATTCCAGAGCCGAAAGTACCGAAATTTCGATCACTGGGCTCCAAAATGTTCACCAAGCCGCCGGCTAGTTCTTCCTCTAATGTCAAGCAAAAGGAATCTTTACTCAAAAAGAAAAAGGACAAAAAGACGGCTGACGAAACAACTGGATCTGAAGATGATATTGACGATATCATTTCTTCCGATGACACAGGTGACGATAGCAACGATCAAGGCGGTAAGGGCGTTCAGGTGAAGACGATAGTCTTGGAAGAGTTGTTCAAGAAAGGCAAGTCTAAGAAAGGCAAAATGGCTGGGCAAGATGACCTCCACCTGTCTAAGGGCAAGAAAGGGGAGCCTGACACGGTTTACAAGTTCGAAGAGCTGGAAGACTCGGATTCAGGTGAGCTGCCCGAGATTCCTGAAGATGGCACACAGAGTGAGGACGACTTTGGGCAAGGAAAAGAGAAGGATGTTGTCAGAAAAGAGGAAAAGAAAGAAGTGAAAAAGTCGCCAGTGAAGGAAGTGGAGAAGCTTTCAAGTAAAGATACAGGTGCTGAAAAAGGAAAAAAATCACCACCACCACCACCACCACCACCAGTGAAAGAAGTGGAAAAGGTTGCAGCAGCAAAAGAGAATGAAGGCTCAAAGGAGATGATGATGCCGCCGCCTAAAGAGGATGGCAAAATGAATGAACCAGAAGAAGGTGGCAAAGAATCGACCAAGGAAACGCTCAAAGATGAGCATGATGAACTGGCGATCAAGACGGAGGAAAAACAGGAAGATGGCAAAGCAGCAGAGAAAAAAACTGAAGAGGTAAAGAAGCTTGAAAAACATAAAGAATCAGCAAAAGAAGGGAAAGGAGCAGACGATGAAGACGGCGGAGAGTTAGAGCACCTTTTACCGCCGCCGTTGGGATGATGACTGTGTGTGGCTGTGTGTGTGATTCACCATTCTAGTGATCAGCATTTGTAATCAGTACGTTATTTGGTGAAATTGTACCTTTTGTAAGCAATACAAGCTGGATTGTAAAAACTTATTTTCTACTTTGGGCTCGGGTTCTGGCTTTGACGTCGGCTGCACATGCTGGTGGAACCTTTTCAGGTCTCCTTGCTACTGACCTTCTTCAGATCTACTGACTGTTCACAGGTAAAGGCACTTGCATCAAAGACATAGACAGTGTTGGCAGTGTCAAAAAGGTAGGCAGTTTGCTAACAAGAGGTATGCTAAAAACAAAACAATAATTTTAATAATGTAAAACAATAATAAAATTGTAACATTAAAAATAAAAATTTAAATTGTCTGCAGAAGCAGCAGAGGAAAGAGGAGCTGGTGCAAGTGCTGCCGATTGAGCTAAAGAGCTCGTTGCTGGTGCAACTCCTTTTCTGGCGACCGCCACTACTGCGGCACCAGTTTGCCGATGCGAGTCTGCAGCGACTTGAGCTCAGCGGCCACCTCCTGGTCGGACTTGGTGACCAGCTCCAGGGAGAGGCCCTTGAGGATGACCTCCTTCGCCTCGGCGTACTTCTTCGCCTTGATCAGCAGGTAGGCGAGGGTGATGTAGCCGTCGATGTAGGCGCCGTTTATGGCGATCGACTGGCGCAGCTTCGCCTCCGCCTCGGCCCAGTTCGAGTTGGGCAGCGGGAACTGCTTCTGAATGGCGGCCTTTTCCTCCTCGGTGAGCGAACTGAGGGCCAGCTGGAGGCGACCCTCCATGAAGAGCACCATCGGGTCGGTGGGCTTCAGGCGGACGCAAACGGCGAGGGCGCGCAGGAAGGCCACCGTGTACTTGATCTTCGCCTGGATGTTCGAGCCGATGAGGGCCAGCTTGCCGGCGGTCATCGCCATCCACATGTTGCCCTGGAAGTGGTTGCTGTCGATGGCCACTACCTTCTCCGCCAGGTTGAAGGCCTCAGTGGTCTTCGCCTTGATGTCGTTGATGTCGGTCAGGTTGAGCGACAGCGAGTAGGTGGCGTAGGCGAGGCGCCACATGATCTCCACGTTCTCCGGCGAGCCCTTGGCCGCCTGGGCCATCTGCTCGTACAGCTTTTCGTAGTTGGCCGTTTTTGGGTTTGCCATCTCGGCGTCCCAGCCGACCAGGTCGAGCATCGAGGGAGCAGCTGCAGCTGGAGCGGCAGTGGCAGTAGACATGATGATGACGGAGCACTGACAAAAAGAAGTTGTTTTCTAGTGCTAGCAAACCTTAGCAAAAAGAAAATGCAGTGGACTTTGAGCTAGCAAAAGCAAAAGCAAGCAAACGCACTATCAAATTCAACAAGTATGAGCTGTCAACTAGCCAGTCAGTACTCTTTTGTAGGCGTCCAATGAAGTTCGAAAACTGCCCACTTATTGTAACCACTTTATTGTTGTGAATCACCGTTTGCTGAACTGTGACACCAGTGACTCACTTGAGGAGAAACGATTTATTGCTAATGACTTTCCGGCGGCGATCGGTGCCACTTCGTTCTTCAGAAGCAATTAGAAACCGCTTTTTTGGTACCCGCTTGTTGCTGATGGCCAGAACTAAAGTGCAACGCAAGCAGATGTGATGCTGTTGTTACCACTGAAGTTTAGCCACTGTGTGATTGCACTAATTGAAATGACTCTGGGTTCATTACCAGTAGCTCTCTTCTGATCATCACCATCACCCTCATTACCATTACTGCTCTTGGAGGATGACACCCTGCTGTGTTTACTGCGTAATTTAAATAACAGTTTATGGCAGTGACACTGGTGCACTTCTGCCCGACCATTAAGTGTCCTGGTGACCCTCTCCTTGCTACTGAACTTTGCTTCTTCTCGCGTACTCTGACACACGCGTCTTGCCTGCCTGCCTGCAGCCCAAAAGGGCGACGGAAACAGTTTGGCAAAACGGTTCGGAGAATATGCTGCCAGTGTGCCGCATTGTGGTGTACGATTGCAGTATAAATCAATCGGTTGACAATTGTGACTCGCACTCGCACACACACACACAAACAGACTCCCTGAATCAGTGTGTGTGCCCACCAGTGGCAGTAATGACCCGGCCGATCGGCGATCGGCCAATAGCTCAATGTCTGCCGAGTGAGTAATTGCCCAGTTGGAAGCAGGCTAAGGCAGAGGCAGTAATTCACTGCATAACGGAATGGGCTACTGTTGCTACTGTTGCCGCATTCGGCCCCCTTGATCCACGCACAGTGTCATCTTTCCCTCTCTCTCTTTCTCTTTTGTTTTTCTCTCTTCATTCTCCCGCATTCTACTTCATGTGACACTTGCAGCAGCAGCCAAAGCAGCGGCAACCACCGACCAGGCAGGCAGGCAGGCACGTGCCGGTGGTGTTGCTCCATACCAGAGTTATTTTTGGTGCGCAACAGTTGGCAGAAGTGCTCTTCTTCGACAGAAGCAGAGGACATCTGGCAGCGGCAGCCACTGAAGATGAGCCGACGAAGACTGAGTCAGAGCCAGAGAGGGAGGGAGAGTGGGAGAGAGTAAATGTGTGTGTGCTGGTTCCGGCAAACGAGCTGGGTCTTCAGTGGCTGCTGCTTCTGCCGACAGAGAAAGCCCGAGCGTCGAGTATAAAAGCCATGCAGTTTTTGCTGATGATCATCACTTCTCATCTTGCCACCACCACGTTGACTTGAGTCTCTCTCTCTCTCTCTCTCTCTGATTTGTTTTTCTTCTCAGCCGTTTGCCTCTTCATTTTCTCAGTTCACATCTGAAACTGATCGGAGTCATCGAGACTGATCGCTCTCTATAGAGTTCTTGACCAGCTCCTTACTCCGACCAGTTCCCGATGATGAGTAGCACCACCAGCACATGTGCATTCATCACTTCCTTTCACCGGCTAGTTTCCGATGATGGCTGCTTCAGGTAAGTGCACTTTTTTTTCATTTTCGCTCGTCTTTTAGTTTCATCTGAAGATGAGACGGGTGATGAACATGTTTTCTTCTCGCACTGCTCAAACATGTTCATACTTCGTCTTGTCTTCCGGTGAGGCGCTTCTTCAGGTAGTCCTTAACAACTTTGTCATAGTTAGGTGAATGTAACTAACCCCTTTCTCCATTTGAAACTAATTGGGAAAACGAGACTTATCTACCACTTCCTCATGCTTTGATCAGTCCGTCAATCCCGATTAGATTCCGGCGTTGAGCTATGCAGCGCACATCACCTTGTTAACTTTAGCTCTTCTCCAGCAGGTTTCTTTTGGTGACGGTGAACCGTCAAACAGATTGTTCCTAGTTCTAACAACTAATTTGTTTGGCGACATTCCCCGTCTCTAAGGAGTACCACTCATCAACGTTTTCGTCAATACAACTTTTCTGTCCTTTACTTAAATTTGCACTAGATCAACGTTCCCTTCTCAGATGACGTTTGCCACTGCGCTCTTTACCTGATCAGTTGCTGTTGTTGCTTGAATTCACCGGTAAGCACCTTCACTTTGCCTTGATTTTCCTCTTTTGATGTGTCAATTATGTTCTTTAACCTTAGAATGTTTCAAACTTGCCCATGCATTGTCTCCCTTTTTCGGTAAGACACTTTTCTTATTTTTTTCATTTTCTTGTCTCATTTGAAGATGAGACGAGGTGTTGAGTAGGTTTTCTCTTAGCACCAAACGTGAGAAGTAATGTTTCTAGAGCCAAACCTAGCACATTTTGTTTACTAGGTCCTCAGTATTTTTTTGTAATAGATATTAGGTCCTAGGTTTGGGGCAAACTCAAATTATGAAAATTTTTTTGAGACAAAATGTAAGCCATTTTCCCATAGACACACAGTAACGCCTATGTAGAAGTTGCTTACATTTTGTCTCAGAAAAATTGTCATAATTTGAGTTTGCCCCAAATCTAAGACCTAATATCTAGTACAAAAATTACTGAGGACCTAGTAAACAAAATGTACTAGGTTTGGTTCCAGAAACACTACTTTGAACGTTTGGTGCAGTATTCTCTAAACCTGCCCAAACTTCGTCTCGTTTTCCGGTGAGGTACTTCTTCTGCATGTATCAGCCATTGTTAACTCTGCTAATCAGAATGTGACTAACCCTTTCTCCATCTGAAACTAATCGGGAAATCGTGACTTATCTGCCAGGACTACCGCCCTGATCAGTCCGTAATTCCCGATTAGATTCCGATGTTGAGCTATGCAGCACACATCACTTGTTGATTTTATCTTCTTTCTACGGTCTCTTCCAGTGACGGTGAACCGCCAAACAAATTGTTCTTAGTTCACACAATCAATTTGTTTGGCGCTATTCATCGTCTCTGAAGGTAAGCAGTTACCATCGTCCAGGTACAACTTTGCTCTCTTTCACTAAAGTTTTTGCACTAGTGCACCTAAGCCACACCAGCAGCAGCAGAACAATGGCGGATCAACGTTGCCTTCTCCGATGACGTTTGACACACTGTGCTCCGCACTTGATCCGCTGCTGCTAGTGTTGCTTTGGTGTTCTGGTTTGCACCTTCACCTTACTACCTTGATCTGCCTCTCTTGATGTGTCAATACATGTTTTCTTAGTTCTTCTTCAAACTTGCACACGCGTCGTCCAGTTTTCCGGTAAGACACTTCACATATTTGTCAACTTTCTAGCTTCATTTGAAGAAGAGACGAAGTGTTGAGTAAGTTTTCTTTGTATTCCCTAAACTTGCCCACACATCGTCTCGTTTTCCGGTGAGGTACTTCTTCTGCATGCTATTTCTAACTCTATCAACATGAATGTGACTAACCCCTTCTCTATCTGAAACTATTCGAGAATTTGTGGCTTATCTGCTCTTTTCATCCTTGCTCGATCAGTCAGGAATTCCCGATTAGATTCCGGTGTTGAGCTATGCAGCACACATTACTTGTTGACTTTAGTTCTTCTCTCCATCAGGTCTCTTTCAGTGACGGTGAATCGCCAAACAAATTTGTGCATCAGTCGTCGTGACAATTTGTTTGGCGGCATTTGCTGTCTCTGAGGAGAACCACTTATCATCGTTTGTCCAACTTTACTGTCATCTACCTTTCTGTTTGCACTAGGGCGCACAGCCAATGACGTTGTTTCCTACTTCATTTGAAACTTTCTCTGTCACAGCACATTTGCATTTGTAAAAGTGCGCTTCGATGAAGAGTGGTTGCTCTTCTGTAGTAGTAATCACCGGCATTGGTTGTACGCCCTAGGTAGCTAAGATTCACCTCCAGAAGAGGTTTTCAAAGCAGCCTTCTTTGCCTGCAGCATTCCGCACCTGAAGATGAGACGAGGGATGGTTAATTTTGTTTTCTCGGTCAGTCAAATTTACCTTCCATCGGATCATCTTCCGATGTGGCCCTCACACATCCACTCACACACACACACTGCTGGTAGTATCAAATTTATTACTGTAAAATCTCTTCTATTTACTTGCTGTATTTTTTCCAATAAAATGCTGTCCCCTTTTGAGTAATCAACAGGCGCGTAAATTGTTGTTGTTGTCGTATTGAAGAGGGCCTCTGCTTGCTCTAGTTGAAATTGCGTTCAGAGCTAGGAAGAAACCAGGCAGGAAACAGCAGACGAAGAATGGCAGACAGCGGTGCTGCTGAAGGAGACAGTGCTGATGATGATGGTGAGTAGGGGCCACTACCCGGCAGGCCAGAACGACGCATCTCCTCGGCATTGCAAGCGCCGGTTTCAGCAGTGGTCTGAGGACACTGCAGACTGGCCAGTCCGGTGAGAAGCACCGGCGCCGGTGAGGCCACTCTGCCCAGTGGGCGGTAGTAGTGCTCAGTTTGGTTGTTGTGGTTGTCATTGCTACTGCCGCTGCTGCTGCTGTTGTTGTACTCGCCATCATCATCCATCGAGTACTCGTCAGAATTTGAGTCAGAGTTGCCGTCTCCGGGTTCAGCACCAGCAGCCGACGGGCTCTGTCGATCGCGCACTCGACGTTCATTAGCTCGAGGCAGACCGGGCGCCGGTGGAGTCGGCAGGGCGCTGCCATCGCAGACGCAGGGACCAGCGGCAAAGATCAACGGTGGCGGTTGAGGGCGAGAGGGAAGCTGGGACTGCCGAAGAGAGAAGGTATAAATGGCTGCAAATCATTGCCAGCTGAACAGTATTACATTCAAGTTGCAGTAGGATCCAAAGCCAACTTGGGATGATGGTGGTGGTGGCTGTGAGTGACCGGTTCGCTGCTGATAACCTGCTGTAAAAGCAGTGCTCGATGAGTATGTTTGCATTTTTGCTGTCTGACCACGACGCTGTGACGGTGGCGGTGGCAGATTGCTTCGTTGAGAGGGGCGCATTTTGGGCATTGCGATGTTTGTTTTGAGAAGCTGCTTCAAAATGAAAAGGTACGTAGCGTTGAAGTGAACCATAAATGCAAGTGTAAAGTTCGAACACTAAAGACAACTTTTTAATTTTGCTTTCCAGAAAAAGATTCCATTTACTCCCCTGATTGCGCCTCAATCCACCTGATGAATCGATCCACTCTTGTGTAGTAGCCTGGATGCAGGCGACTGCCACAGCCGACGCCATGAGAGACAATGCCTGCCAGTGAGTAGACCTCACTTGTTTCAGCTAGTGGACACAACAGTGGACCACCTAAAAGTAACAAAACAAAATGTACTGTCAAAACAAAATAATTTACTTAGCATACCTGAATCACCCTTACAGGCATCCTTATTGTCCTCGTCAGTGAAGCCAGCACAGAGCGCCCAATGTGAGCTGAAGTCTCGTTCCAGCTGTGAGCAGTAGGCGTCACTGAGAATAGGAAGCCCCACTTGAAGCAGCTGCTTGGAAAGTGAGCTTTCACTATCAGCCGTCGTTTGACCCCAACCCAAAACGATGCATTGGTTAGTGTTTAGCAACTCCAGAGGATACGGCTCACAAACGCAGGAAACTAAAAAAGTAATCTTATTAGTTTTAACCTCAAACCTAAAAAATGTTTTTGCTAACCTTCAGTGTTTTCACTCTCAAAGTCAATCTCCCGGTCCAAGCGAATGAGTGCAATGTCGTTTTTGTAGCCCCTCTTCATGCCCACGTAGTCTCGGTGAATGATGAACCGGTCCACTGTGAAGATGTACTGCTCCTCGACAACTGTCTCCATTTCAAAGGAGTTCACATGGCCGAGGTAGATGATGAACTCCCTTTCATCGAACTGCTGTCTAAAGAGGTGGTATGCAGAAGTCTTCAACCTATTGATATGTTTACCTTTGTATAACCCTTTTTTACTTACAGGCAGTGTGCAGCCGTCAGAATGTGATAGCTGTTCCAGACGACGCCTCCACAGTGATGCCTCCCTTCCCGGTAGATCTTTGCCATGAATGGCCACCGTTTTGGTGGGCTGACACTGCCGCCAAGGATAAAGGGCGCAAATCTGCTGACATCTTCATCGCAATCGACTGAGCTTGCACACCAGCTTGAGGTCAGCAGTAGTAGTAAGAGAGACGACATTTTTTCAATCACAATAGATTTTGTTTTGGTGGCCATTTTATTTGTTTAGGGCTTGTTTGTTCCGTAGAACTGTGTGTTAGTGTTTGAACAAAAAGAATTAATTGCAGCATTAGTAGCTGTCCGGCCCAAATTCAGCACTGAGAGATCAGAAATCAGCTCCCAGTGGCACGCATCTTTATTTTGACTTTTGGCTTTTAGGCGTCTTTTTGCTGTTGCTGCCTGCCACTGCAGACTTTCTCTGAAAGAGCACCTGTTGAGCACTGGTCACCACACTGCTATTGCTGCTGCTGTTGTTGCGACTGTTCATTGAGGTGACGGGCGACTCGACTGGAGTGCCTGAAGTGTCCTCTTGAGAGCTAGCAGAGTTCGGAGGATTGTTGCTGGTGGTGGTGGGAGCTTCTGTTGGTGGTGGTGAAGGTGCACTAGTAGTGGACTGCTTCTCAACGTGCTGCTGCTGCTGCTGATTCTCAGCTGCTGCTTCAGCACTGCTGGGACCGGACTGCTGCTGAGGGTGCTGCTGTTCCGTCTCAATCATAGTCTGCGGGATGCGCCTGAAGTCTCTCATCATTGCCTCCAGCTGTGTGGCCATGTCAGAGTGGGCACCAAAGAACTGGTGCACCTGGTCTGCCTCGAGGACAATAACCGGCTCGGTGGCCGTCTGGTCAGCAGCAGCAGCAGCACTACCTCCATCCATTTGGTAAAGCGCAAAACCAGTGGCAACACTGGGCACAGTATTTACGGGTGGAATCTGGGATGCAGGCTGCTGCTGCTGCCCCTGCTGCTTTAGGCTGCCAATGTGCACACTGTTCAGTGGTCCCTGGTGGATCCCGTCAGCTGATCCCGATAAGGACCGATCTCGACTAGTTGACATTGACGTTTTCGAGTGCCGTCGTCGCTTTCGCTGTCGTGGTTTCTTTTGTTTGTACTTTGAGAATGGTCGTCGCTCCCCGTCCTCATCCTCGTCATCTTCACTGTCTTTACTTCTCTTTCGCTTCTTTCCAAGCTTTCTCCGTCTTCTCTTCTCACGCCTTGCCCTTTCTCGTTGTTTCTTCTGAAGATGCTTCTCTTGATTCGCCAAGTTGACGTCTTCCACTGAAGTGGAAAAAATATCAGCAATGAAGTTTTAAAAAAAGTACCACAGCATCTGAACGTCCTACCTGAGTTCATGGCAAAACAGCAGTAGCCAAAGACGGCCAGTGCACCAGCAGCAACGTAGTAGATGTACTTGTTGGTGCCCAGCTGATCCTGATCGCCGCCACCAGCACCACCTTGGTCCTCGACCATGGATCGTTCCACAGCTGGAATCTGTCTCGGTCGGTTGTCGTAGAAAGGTGGCGGCTCTTCTGGAACAGGGTAAACCGCTCGATGCTTTGCAGGCTCTTCAAGAACCTTGCTAGGTTTCTTTGGCTTAAATAGCCACTGTTTGCCTTGCTTGTTTTTCTTTTTGCTCTTTTTTGCCAATGTTTTCACTCCCAGCTGAGAGTCTAAATCGTAGAAACTGTTGCTGCTGTCCAGCCCATAATCATTCTTCCACTTTGACTTCATCTGTTGCTTCTGTTTCTTCTTCTTCGTTTCCTTTTGCTGTTTGTTTTTACTGCCAGAAAGCGACTGAGCCTGATCAGCTGATTCCTGCAGTGCATTTCGGTAGTTGCTCGTCAGTCTGGTGAAGTTTTGCGACAGTGCCTCCAACTTGGTCAGCAGTGACTGGTGAATGTGCTCATCATCGTCGTCACTGACACTTCTGCTGGCAATGGTTGCCACTTCCACCACCGCTGCAGCCTTAGCATTGGCCTCTGGTTTACGCTGTCTGTTGGCAGCTGCAGCCGCCGAGAGCAGCAGCCCCTGTTGCGTCTGGCCGAGCAGCAGTGTCTTGCCCAGTCCGGTCAGCTGGTGCTTCAACTCCATCACCGCATTCGCCAGCTCCTGTTTGTTGTTTGCTCGAAGTTCGGCCAACTTTTGCTCAAACTCCTGCATGAGAGTGGCTGCGAGTTTTGATTGGAAAAAGAGTTAGCAAAAATGAGAGTGCAGTTGCACCAACTAACTGTACCTTTCTGCTTCTCAAAGGTAGTTTGCGAGTCAAAAGAGTTGCCAAAGTTGAAAGGAGAATTCTCTTCATCGCGGTTGTTCATGTCGAATTGTCTCTTGTGGCGGACACTTCCACCATCACTAATGGCGCTGATAACTGTTTGGAAGTAGTGCAAAAGCAGAAAAGTTTGAAGCAAAAGAAAACGCATTTTTGTGCTACTTGGTTGGAGTTAAGATTTTTTGAGTGATTACAAACAGATAAAGCCACCAATTTTTACACACATCTTATAAAAAAAATTCTAAAAAAATGATTGTTGTCAGTTCAACAATAGGCGCCAGATAATTGATGACCTGGTGCACTTGTTTTGCAACGTGATCATTTTTGCCAGTGAGCAGACATGCCCAAGTCTCGAAGTTCATCGCGCGGATCTTTCGACGGAAAGACGTTGGCCGTCATCTCGTACAAAGGCTACAAGGTGGAAAAGAAGCTAGGTGAAGGAGCTTTTGGAATTGTCTACAAGGCGACCAATCGACAAGGACAACTCTTTGCAGTCAAAGTGATTGACCTCAACAAAATGGACACGAGTACACGAGAGAAGTACCTTCCACGGGAGATCAGCACTCTCATTGACTGCAGACATGAAAATCTCATTCGAGTGTACGACATCTTTCGATGCAACTACAAAGTAAGTGCTTCTGGGTAATGTTAAAATAAGATTATCTTTTTATCTTATCTGCAACCTGATCTCTTTAAGATGTTTTTTGTGATGGAGTTTGCAGGGAATGGCGACCTTGCTGGTTACGCCACCAAGCACAATGGCTTTAAGGAGCCACTCGCCTGCAAGTGGTTCCTCCAAGCCGCCTCGGGACTGTCTTTCCTGCACAACAACATGAAAACCGCGCACAGAGACATTAAACTAGGTTTGTTATTAGGTTCTGATGCTAAAAACTAAAAAGTAACATCGATTACCACCTGCAGACAATATTCTTCTGGATGGCAACATGGTTGCGGTAAGACAATGAGTTTAAAAAAATTATCATCGTTAATTTTGTGCCATTTAGAAACTGACTGATTTTGGATTTGCGAAGCACTGCTACGACTCTCACCGAAACCGCGTCGTTCTCAGCAGTACATTCTGGTAAATGAAACCTTTTAAGTAAAACAACTGATTCAAATGACAATTTTGTCTTCACTTTCAGCGGCACTCTTCCTTACGAATGCCCCCAGATTCTCGATCATCGCCCTTATGATGCGATGAAGGCGGACATGTTCTCCATGGGAGTAACGCTCTTTATTATGATGTTCAGTGGTATGCCTTTTACTGTTTTTTTCAAAGTCTGATCAATGATCAAAATTCTGTTCTTTTAGCTTTTCCCTTTCACTACCGAGATCGTCGGCAGATGCTCGCTGAGATTAACGATTATCCGAGATATCTAAGAAGCCGATACACCAGACGACTGCCACCTGACGCGACCATCCTCATTGAGCAGCTTTTGAATCCTCACGAGGGAAACCGAGCCGGTGTGCACGTCATTCTCTCCAATCGATTCCTTCACAGCCATAAAGCTCACTGAAGTGCTTTACCTTCACCAGCAACGCACTTGCAATTAGAATTTTTGCTTGNCTTCACCAGCAACGCACTTGCAATTAGAATTTTTGCTTGTTTAGAAAATAAAAGTTGTTTGTTGTACACTAAACTCAAACTGTTCTATTTGCTCAGTCATCCTTTTTAGCAGCGCCGTTTGACCATTTAGCCAGTCAGTTGTTTGATTGCCGTGCCCGGTTCATCACTGCTCATTGGTTTGCATCATGGGAGCAATAAGCAGTTCCGAAGTTCAGCAGGACGACTCTTTAAACTCTGAGCTGCAGTCCAGAGACACCACTGTGCAGCCTACTAACCCGCCATCAGTGGCCACCAATTATGTTGAACAAATGTTGCCATCACTTCCGCTGGTCGGAGCAGTCCCCCCAAATGTGCCCATTGGACTGCACAGCCACCACCGACAGCTGACTCGCGTTTGCTGCCAACTAGAGGCACTGCAGCACCTTTCCGCCGCCTTCCCCGAGACGGTCGATCTGGTGCTGGCCACCGCCGATGGCGCCACTGAGCCAGTGCACGCCTTCTACCTGGCGATGAAGGCGCCCAAGTTTTGGAGCCAGCAGATTGTCCCTCAGATTGATCGTTTCAAGCAACAGCAGCAGCAGCAGAAAAATGGACAGCCGGTGCACCGACTGCTCACCAGCGAACAGCTCGTTCACGAGGTGCCTCGTGTGCTGCTGAAGGGCATCAGCGGTCAGATGCTGCACATCATCGTGGGCAGCATGTACCACCGCGCCGGCTGCCTCAAATTGGACTACGGCCTCGCCTGGCAGCTGCTGCCCATCGGACGCGACTACGAGCTGGACTTTCTGCTGAAGAAGTGCTTCAAGTGCCTGTCCGGACAGCTCTCTGCCGGCAACGCCGTCCAGGTGATGCAGGTGGCCCTCCGTTTTGGCCACCAGCCACTGGCCACCGCCGCCTACCGCTACATTCTCCTGCACTTTCACGACATTCTCGTGCTGAAGCCGGAGTGTCTGGTGGAGCTGACGCTGGGCCAGTTGACGGCCATCCTCGCCGACGACCACCTGAACATCGCCAATGAGATGGACGCCTTCCTTGCGGCGGTCTTCTGGGTCATGTACTGCCCGAAAAGCCGCCTTGCCCACTTCTGGTCGCCGCTCTTTCTGCAGGTGCGCACGCAGGTGATTCCCTCAACGATGTGGCCGCTGATGGCCCACCTCTTTGGCATTCTCGTTCGGCAGCAGCAGAACGACGCCGCATTAATGAAACGACTGCTGCTGAAGCCAAAGGCGCTGTCCGCCATTCTCTGGCCAATGCCACTTTTTAACCCTCGAGTGCCCCGCACGGTGGCACTCATCTATGGTGGTTTCGAGGGCGGCCTGCCCTCCTCTACGCTGAAAACCTTTGACATCCGAGCCGGCCGATGTTTCAGCCTCGATCTGCCGGGAGCGCCCCCTCGCGTTCACCACGCCACTGTGGCGCTGCAGGGCCGAGGAGGGCAGCAGCAGCATCGGTTGTTGGTGGTGGGCGGCACCGATGGTCTGGAGGTGCTCAACACTGTGCTGTCGCTCAACCTGGCCACTGGCCGCTTCAGCGCCTGCCCGTCGATGACCGAACGACGCAGTCACCTGGCGGCGGTGGTGGTCACGGTCGGCACGGGCAAGGGCCACCACCACCACACCGGTGGTCAGACCACCCTGGTGATCGCCATGGGCGGCTGCAACAACACCAGCGGCTCGATGCGCAGCTGTGAGGCGTACGACAGCCGAACGAAGGTCTGGCGACAGCTGCCGCCAATGCACACTGCCCGCAAGGAGGCGGCCGCTGCCGTGCACGCCAACAAGGTCTACATCACCGGCGGCGTCGACTCCTTCTGCAACAGCTCAGTGGAAGTGCTCACCATGACGTCCACTTCGCCCAGTGGAACTATCAACTACGCGTGGACAGTGGTCAGCTTCATGTGTGTGCCGCGTCGAGGACACGCTCTGCTGAGCAGTGGCGGCTGCCTCTACGCAGTGGGCGGCTGCACCGACGTTACCGAGTACACCTGGTCAGAATGCAGTTGCTTTTGGGATTGTTGCATCTAAACTAATTTAGTTTTTTTTGTTTTTTCCCCTCAGTCTGCGCTCTGTGGAGAAGCTCTCTGCCAATGGCAACCAGTGGGAATTTGTGGCGCCGATGACGGTGGTCCGCCACGCGGCCGCCACCGTCAGCCTCGAAGGAAAGCTTTTTGTCTTTGGCGGCTACGACGGCGCCAGCTGCAGCAAGTCCATTGAGTGCTACAACACCGCTGCAGCTGGTGGACAGGCGGTGGCAGTAGAATGGGAACCGGTGGCCGGGTGTCAGCTTCCGGTGGAGAACTCCAGCGCCAGCGCCGTCGCCCTGGCCGACCTGCCCACCGGCCTGCACCTCACCTACTACGGACAGTGTCTGCTGCAGGGAGAGCGCTACCAGCCGACCAAGGCGAAGAAGGAGTACAGTCAGAAGGCGGTGGCCAAGATGATGATTGCCGCCTGCAAGAAAGAGGAGATCAAGGAGAAGAAAGAGATGTTCCAGCAGAACTCTCACTGAGGAAAAGGCAAAGTGTGCTGTGCCATTTAGTAATTAAATGTTTTACTGTTTTTGCATTTTTTGTTTTAGTTCAGAAGTTTTAATAAGTTTAGGGGAGACGTATCAAATGCGCAACTTTGACACATAGAAGTTGCATTGCGCCAGATGTCTGCTCAAACAAACTGCTGCTGCTGTCTGCAAGGGAGAAACTTGAACGAGTGATCACTGTACTCCCTGACATTTACATTGCACTACAGCACTGTGGCCGCTCATCGTCGCCAATCTGTACACTGCAGTGCACTCACTCTACAGGCTGTTGAGCTTCAGTCAGTCAGTCTGGCTGGCTTCGCATTTCACTTCACTTTCAGCTTCAGCAGCACGAACATCTCTCTC